TGATCAAACTAGGAAAGTAACACTGGTACAATGCCATTAACTAAACTACAGACCGAACTGGAATGCCATGAGTTTTTCTATTCCTGTCCTTTTTGGATCCCACATTGCATTTAGTTGTCCTGTCTCCTTAATCTCCTCCAATCTGTGTATTTTCTATGTTTTTCGTTAACTTGATACTTTTGAAGCACTGGTCAGTTACTTTGTAGCATGTCTTCAGCTTAGGTTTGTCTCATGTTTTCTCATGAATAGAATGAAGTTATGCATCTTGGGAAGAATGGTATAGCGGTGACATGTCCCCAGTGCATCCTATTGGGGGGGCCTGTGATGTCTATTTGTCTCACTACTGGAGATATTTACATTATCACCTGATAAAGGTGGTGTCCGCTGGGTTTCTCCCTGTGAAGTTTCTATTTTTCTTTTTTTTTTTTCCTTTTTGTCTTTTTTCGTGACCAGCAACGGATCGCAACCCTCAGTGTCGCGCCTGTACCGGACCGGGACCGGCTACAGGATCGCAACCCTTGGTGTTGCTCCCGCACCTTGCTTAGCCAGTGAGCGGCCGGTCTGTATGTGGGATCCGAACCCTCGGCGGGAGCGCCGCCGCGCTTCCCAAGCGGCGCACTGTAGCAGTGCGCCACCGGGCTGGCCCGAAGTTTCTATTTTTCTCTTCATAATTAATAAATATCTTGGGAAAGATACTTGAGATTAGGCAAATATCCTGTTTTTTTCCTCAAACATTTCCCCAGATTTGATTATGGCATGCACTGGTGGAGTTTGCCTAGTGGTGATTTTCTCTTTCCCTCCTTCCTTCTACATTCATTAGCTGGAATTTTTCTGCGACGAAGAACTCTTCCTTTTTTGCCATTTATATTCATTCAATTATTTATTTATATCATTATGGATCCATAGATATTTATGTTATTCTGTGGGTTAGAAACTAAAGCTATCACTATTTATATTGTTGTTCAAATGATACCAGCCTTGCCTTCTTTAAAGTTTTGAGTTATATAAGTAAAACATTCTCATTCCAAAAATTTCAAAGAAAACAAGGCGAAAACCTCTTGCTCTCCTTAAAGTTCAATCTTACCTTGTTCTATGTGCAGGTAACTACTTTACCAGTTAGGCAGGTATCCTTCGCTGTCTTTTGCTATCCTGCTTTGTGTTTTGTAAACATCAATGGGATCACAGCATACTTTCTGCAACTTGCTTTTTTCACTGTGCACTATTCTTAGGCAGTGCCATGTTTCCAGTGTGGGCCATGGACCTTCTCCCCACAGTAAAGGGGGCCTTGATTTCCACACTAAACAGAAGAGCTCTGCACTGCCACCTGTCCCCTCTAGTCCTAGAGGTACTCGGGAGATGGGACACAGCTCTGAGTAGGCAGGGGGGGCTGTGGCAGTGGGCTGGGCCTGTTGACGTGCTTGTCCCCCAGTGTCAAGGCCTGAGAAGCCTGGTGTCTGTCTGTTGGGCCAGGGCCCAGAGAAAGGTGAGGAGGAAATGCTGGAGAATGCTCGGCAGGACAGATTGGAACAGCATCCAGGACTCCATGCCTCTGGTGGTCACCCTCCCTCTCATCTTCTAGAAATGCACACATTTATGGATAAAATAATATGAAATGTACTTCAAGTTCATTTAGATCGTCTCCTAACCTTTGCTCCTATATCTTTCCCATGCGTCCTTATGTACAAGTGTCCCATGCAGAGTGGGATTGCTGAGGGGAAGGATCAGACACTTTCTACTTTAATAAATATTGCTATGTTGCCCTTCAGGAAGGTTCTACCAATTTATATGCACATCCAGAACAGAAGAGCAGCCATCCCCTAAAGCCTCACACAAGGATATTAGCAATCTTTTAAGTGTTTGCCAACTTGATGAGTAAAAGCGATACCTTGCTTTGCTTGGCAATTCTCTGATCCCCAGTCAAACTGAACATCTTTTCTTGCCGTTTGTGTTAATTCCCTCCTCAGAGAACTGCAGTGTGACTTAGGAGCATGGACTCTCGAGCCTCTGGGCCTGGGTCTGGGTCCTGACTTTCCAGTTGACTTTGCCTCCCTCTCCTCACCTGTCCGATGGGGGTGATGCCAGTAACCACACCACACGCTTGTTATGACAAATGGGCTAACACTTGTTAGGTATTTAAAACGATGCCTGGCACATCATAAGAGCTGCGTGTGTATTTGTTACATAAAGGAACTAGCGGTGGCATCATGGACTTTCACATTTTTCTTCCATTGGGCTTTTTCTTCTTGATTTAAAGGAGCTCATTCTTGTGTTTGGATACTGACTCTTTGATGGTGGGAGGCACTGCAAATATCTTCTCCCATCCCGCATCTTGCCTTTTAACTTTTAACCTTATTTTGGTTATACCTGTTTTTAATTTAAGTACACTGTATAAATCTTTTTCTTTATAATTTTTGCTTGTTGGTCTTAAGAAATTCTTACCTAGTATTCTTGCCAAGAAATTTTGAGCTTGAACCTGATTGAGTAGCACTGACTAATAATTTACAGGGAATACAGGGGACAGATGACCATGACAAAGACATCATGAGAAACCCAATGGGACACATGACCAAGTTTCTTAAAAAAACAAACTTCAAGGAAGCAAAAAAAAAAAAAAGAAAAAAAAACATAAGGCAACGTAAGGGACATAAGAGGGTACTTCAAACAATTCATAGAAAAATAGAATTAAAGATAATACTTGAAAGAATCTATGAACTTTTTGAAGACCTGTTTTATCAATCAATTCCAATGCATGCAACTTGTTCCTAATTCAAATGAACTATAAAAAAGAAAAATCTCGGGGCCGGCCCGGTGGCGCACTGGATAGTGCGCTGCTTGGGAAGCGCGGCGGCGC